AAAATTTCAAAGATACTTTATAAATAAAATCACCAATAAAATATTTTAAAATAATAATTTTTAATAGCCTATCAATAATTCTATCTGTAAAACCTAATATAAAAACACAATGAGCGCAACACACCTTCATTTTTTTCTCCCAGTTTAAAACCATATATTTTTCTTTGTGATTCTCTCCTTTCTAATTTGCCTTTCTATTCAATCTCTCAAATATCAAGACTGGAAATCAAGTTTTTTTCTCTCTTAATACAATCAAATATGGATTTTAGGTAAAGTTTTTGAAGTATTTCCTTCTTATTTTTCTTTTTTTCTAAGGTTTTTTAACAATGTATTTTTGTTTTTTTGTTTTTTATGCATCACACATATTTGTACTATAAAATTAAGCACACCATTCAGTTAAGAATTTTTCATTCCTTATTTATTTTTTCTCTATTTTTGTTCAATTATTTTTTCTTTATAATTTTATAAAGTAATAGTTATGTTGAATTTTAGTTGTTACTGTAATATTTTTTTATTATTTTGTTGATTTTTAGTTATTTTATTTTTATTAATTTTGTTGTTTATATTTAATTAAATGTGTAGGATTTGTTTTAATTATTATATTGTAAGTACTCCATTTAAAATAAATTATTGTCAATTTAGGATTAAAAATATTATCATATAGAAAATGAGAATTTTATATGAAATTGAATTATTCAAAATTGTTAGTATAAATATAAGAAAATCAACTGATTTGTGGCATATATGTTGTCTATTTGCATGATTAAAAATTTTAGATAAGTTACTGTATAAGGGAGGTAATGCTAATTTTTTATTAAAAAATCAAAATTGTTTAGTTTTTTGTCAATTTATGTAGATGCCTAGGGGAAAATAAATTTCTTGTCATGAGTACATGGTCCTTGCTAGTTTTTCTAATAGTGATAATGACAATCACGAATCATTAAGTGTCGACCAAAAGAGACACATGAAGCACATGTATTGACTCACAATGTTACCTCTTCGAGTGCGGTGCTGCAATGAAGAGAGGGAGTCTCTTCACAATGGGATCCATTCACTCATAAGTATGAAGCATAACGGAAAGATAACCTTTCAAAATAACTTTGTTTTGCATTGAGTTGGTTTATGCTTAACAATTCATGAACAAATGATATTTAATTAAATTTATTTAATTTTATGTTTATAAATATTGAGGTTGCCTGAATAATAACATCGGCATTTTAATTGTCGATGAAAATTTTATTATTTCAAAAGAGCTAAACTTCCAAATATCCTAAATGAAAACTGCATGTTGATGCATGGTTTTCAAGATTTAAGGTTAGTATTAACTTAAAATGTTGCTATTTATTATGCTAATTTGTTTACTTTATTCAAATTACTGAATTGTTTTATATATAATTTTTTACTATAAGGCTAAATTTGAGTTGGATAAAGTAAATGATAATGTTGTAAGGAAGATTTGGAAAAATCACGCTGCAACAGGTAACATCAAAATTAGGATAATTTTTTTATTTCAAATATTAAAATTTCATTTGTTATTTACTCATTGATAATTCTTTTGTACCATATAGGTTGTGTAATTTTGTTGTACAAGGCACAAAAAAATCTAAAAAAAGGCTAAGGAAAGCACTCTATTGGGTTAGAATGACATGATAATTTGAAAGAATTTCAAATAGTCATACATTTTGAAGACTATATGGGTAGAATATATTCAACACATTATGTTCGAGCGTTTCACACAATGATCACAATCTTGTACAAGAAACTAAAATCAACAAATTCACGGTTTTGTTACCATGCACATCGGCAGCTCTTTATAATTTATTTCTTATGCGAAGCAAATGATAAGATTTATTTGAATTACATCTATTTTTCTTTATTTTGTAGTTATTTATAAATCTATTGAATTAATAACATTTTTATCTTTCAGGCTACGACTCTTGGATGGGAGCCAAGCTTAATGGAGCTTTTTATGGAAACATATGTGCGGAGTGATGACCACCAAAAAGGAGTGCAATAATTCATCGACAACAAGGCTCAACACTTTGTTTTATGTTGGTTTTCAACCATTTATTTTCTTAACTTATTATATACTTGAATTTGATGATTTTATTTTTTTTTTATTTTTAAGAGATATATAATAGCCCATTGAAGAAAAGATACGAGGACGATCCTTTGACCAGCCCGAATTTTGATTCAGATTTATAGTTGGAGGTAAGATCATCCGATGAACCTGATAAAAATTAGATTTATGATCTCTTTAACATTACGATTGAGAACTTGCAAACGACCCATGGTATCAACCGTTGGGTGCTTGCAATCGATCTCGAGCATTTAATCTCTAGAGTTGGCGGCCTTGTTAGATTAAAGAGTGCAATAACATACGACTCATCTTAATAAAAAAAATATGAACGACTCTCTATAGATTATGAAAAACTCCACTAAGTAATCATGGATATGAGATCATAGATAGTTGGTACGTGTGCATCTTTTTATTAGCCCTATGGTTTTAGGGACGACCGACCTCTTCCTCCTCCTCTAACACCACCTCTATTATAGTTTCATTGTATTTAGACGTATAAATTTATAGTAAATATTTAATTTTTATATTAAGATAATTTATTTTTAAATATTTGAATTTTATATTAATTTATTTTTTTAATTATTTTCTATTTTGTCCCATAATATTTTTTAATTTTTTTAAAATTATTACTGACAGGGTTGCTGACGAAATAATTTTGTCGGTATATTCTAGAGAGTTGAAAAAGATTTACAGCAAACGCCCTTGCAACTATTAAATCACCAACATAATTATTCTGTCAGTATCTTCCAGAGAGCTAGAAAAAAATTATAGCAAATACCACTACAACTCAGTGACAAAATTACTCGTGGTTATCCTATCAATGATATACTAGATATTATCAAGAGAATTATAGACGGATTGAAACAAATAATTTTTTTTGATATATATATTTTATCTATAAAATTATAGGTAAATTTATTAATAATGAACTTACCGACATAATAAAAATTGCCAACAACTATTTTTTCAACAACAAACAATTTCTATATATAATTCTATCATTAAAAAAGTTATAAATAAAATATCAATATAATTACTAATAAAAATTTCCATCAATAAAACTATAAATTCCAACTGTTATTCGACGTTCTTGGTCCATTTAGTCGGCTCCTTTGGAAGCTATTTATAGGTGCTTCTAAATTTCTATATAATTATTTATCTGTTGAAGCTCAAGCCCATAAAAAAAAAGGGAGTAAAAAGGCATTGGATATCAAAGGGGCTTGTTTACCAAGAGTAGGAGTTTGGGCTCGATAGGCCTTGTAAGCTGCAACGATAAAACATCATTTTTCAAGGGGGGCGTGCGTGCATGCCAATAGGTTGAAGCTGAGACCAAGAAGCCCCATGAGAAGGAAACTTCAGGTGAATCCCATATGATGGTCACGTGTGCCACCGCTGGCGTGGTGGCGCTGGCCCTCCTTGTAAATTTAAATGCAAGTGTCTTCTATTTCCAGCTTTAGCTAAGATAAAGCAGCAGAAAGTGACTTAATTAATTGACAGAGAGAAGGATATCAGTTATGCCCACCGATTATTGGACAGAAAAGTTAATGAAAAAAATTATAAGAAAACAACCTGAGCAAATGTTGTTTTCCATGTTTGTACCTCATTAATTAGCATCTTCTACGTGAAGGATAGATTCTTATGACTTCTTCAAGTTCTTCAACTCTTTACGAGAACTCACAAAGGGTTAGGTCTAAAGCCAGTACAGATTAGCCTTCAAAATTCCCATATGTCCAGATCATCATCGAAAACCCAGTTAGAATTTAAAAGTTGATGCACCATCCTGTATAATTAAGACGTAGCGCGCAATTTATCACTACCATAAATGCTCTCTATACTTGTTTCCATTTCATGATCAGACATTTATATCCATATCCAGAAACACAATTTCCAACAAATGTTATGGATGCCGACTTTTCTATTTTCGGTCCAAGGAATTTAGCAGACAGAGATACATGCTATCACACATGGGAATACGTGTTCTTTTCACTGATGCTGTTACAAATCTCTAAAGATGGGAATGGGGACCAAAAATTATTTAGCTGCAGTCTCTTCTGCAGTAGAAGGGGTCCTCTCATGATATGATTATAAATTCATATAAATAAATCAATACATGTCTAAGGATTTGAAACCGTGTGCCAATGAGAAGGCATGAACCATCAATATTGCACGTGGGATTCACATGGTCGCCATCTAATGGCTTCATCCATGCATGGATTCTCTCTCTCTCTCTCTATTTCTTCGATATTTCACTCACATTACCCCACTTGCTGTGCCACCTCGCAAGCTTGAAGGTTTTGTGTTTGTTTTGGTTTTGAGGCTTCAGAGTAGAGTAGAATATAGGAGTTTATCTAGGGATATTGAGGGTCCTCCAAAAGCGGCAACTCCTACGTTTTGTAGTTTCTCGTTGGGTAGCTAAAATAGGATCCCTCGAGCCCTACCTCACCCCTACTTGCCTTTTTTATCTCGCCTGTGATATATATATATATATATATATATATATATATATATATATATATATACATAGCACCCGACCACCGTGACTTTTGTTAACGTTATCCAAATATCATGCCACTACCTAGTTACGTACGTGTTCTAATAAAATATTTAAAAGTATAGTAGTTATTACTTTTCAAAATAATTCACTTGAAAATACATCAGTTTTTTTTTTAATGTATCAATTTTGACATAATAATATCAAAACACTAAACAATTTTTAAAAAATAAATTTTAATAAAAACAAGTTGAAATTAAAACACTCCATAAATAGAACCATCACCTTAAAGTGAAGTTGGTACTGTTTCACACTATTACAACAGATTCACAACGATGTGACAGAATGTACTTTGTTAGCAAAACAGAGAAATCAAGAGACAATTGTACTCTAACGATGCAGATTGAGGACCTGCAACCATAAACTATCTAGGTTATAGTTTTGATCATGCGTGTGCATCAAACCGGCAAAAATAGTAGACAATACCGACATATCATGTGTCATGATCGCTATTGATCGTGACGCTCCATTAGGAACAACATCAACCTCAATTTATAGCATTTGTCACCGTGCCGGGCTTCTTATGTTAGAATTGCAACTATTCTAATCAACAGAAACAAATGAAAAATTTAGACATATCGTAAGAAAAACAGTGCAATTTGTTTACACTTTTTTCACTCTCGTCAACAGCTTTCACTGTCAAATCCACGGATGGAATTAGGGCATCCAGGATTGAAGACTGTTGCGTGGCATTTGTCAACAAGCTGACAACAGCTTCCTCGCTTTTATGATTGTGGGACACGCTAACAAATTGACGCCACCAACCCTGACTAGATGGGCATCTTCTCATTTAACGGTGTGCAATCGAGGCATTTGAGAAGCCAAATGCCAATATCACTGAAAGTATTGAAATCATGCCCGAATCATGCTGGCGGTTCCAGTTCAACAACAGTGACAAACCGGTATGGAACGGCTAAGAAAACTCCCAATTTGTGGAAAGAGAAGGCCAGAGTCATAAATGGAATGCCATTAGATAAGAAGGAAAGAACTTGCTCCTGTCCTGGATCTCCTTCTACAGAAACTGCGCATCCATGCCTTCTAGTCAGAAAAATATATCACATCAAGGGAACCACAGTAGGATTGCCGTATAGCTAGAATGTGAGGCAGAGAAGGATAATACTGATGATGACAACGTTGATAACAATAACAATGGTTCTCAAGAAACGTGACGTGGGAACAAAGAATTTAAAACCAGCACAGCAAATCTCTAATTCGAGTTAGAATTTTAAAAAAATTGAAAATAACTATGATTTTATTCCCTTACTAAGAACTTACAACTATGCTTTCCAAAGAATGAAATTTTTTCAAATCTAAAAAAAAATAATAATAACAATAACAATGATAATGATGGCCCTCAATAGAGCATAAATGAATAGAAAATGCTTGCTGTCAAGAATTAATTGGGTGTTTATAATTGTAGCATAGAATACTTTTTAAAAATATTTTTCTTTTAAAAATACATTATAATAATTTTTTTCAGATTCTTTTTTATTTTTGACACCGACACTTTAAAATTATATAAAAAAAAACTTAAAAAAAATATCAATTTAATATTTTTTTCGAGACAAACACATTTTAAAAAAGCATATAAACAGAGACTACCGCAATATTATAGCATGAACGGCACAGCATAAACTTTTCACTCCCGGAAAAGATATTTCGTATGTCAACCACAGTATTACTGGTCTGCTAGATGAGTATATTTCAGTTACGATGTATCTTACCAATGACCAGCCAAAAAGCTTAAATAATTCACAGTCCCTTTGGGGTCCATGGCAAGTATATATTTATAATGATTTCCACTCACAATAGTTTTCGTTGGTCCTGCTTGAAATGCCACAATCCTTTAGGCCGAGCACCTTGAAAAAAAAATGCAAACATGCAATAACATGAAATGAAAAATTAATATGTAATGGGATTTGATTATGTTAGTGTGTACTCGCTGAGTCGCTGTAAGTGTCCATTAGCAAATGATGCACACTTATTTTTTGCATAATATACATAATGCATGCATTTGAAAGAACTAAATAAAATGTTTCCATCAGTCTCATGTCCATGCATTCATTTACCAGCACAACCACATCAAGCATGCATAGCAAATGTTGCACCCCCCAACTTGCAGGTCTCCCAACTCTCCCTGATTCTTTTGCTTGATTTGATCTTGACAAAGAACAGCCAACCAAAACCTTGTATCTATCTAAATGTTTCTCTCTATCCGCATCCATCAGAAGATCCTCCTAGCACCCACTACTTCCAACTCATTAAACAACCATGTTCAAAAGATCCCCATCCCTTTCTTTTTGCTAATCCAAATCTCTCCTTTAATGCTTTGTTGCCCTTGCATATCTAAATATATTCCTACATCTTGCTCCCTGTGACAATTGAAGCAAAACTAACATTGAATCCCACAGAAGAAGTTCAAGATGAGGGTAAGCACACACTTCCTGAATTTTGAATAGCACACGTATTAATGATTTTAAACTCTATCTTTGCATTTCATTGTTGCAGGTACTAGGTTGGATGCACCACCGATCCAAAAAAAATAATGCCGAACCATTCAAGGATTTTTCGATAGGTATTCAAACAACCCTTCATTTTCTTCTAAAAAGACCACTAGGTGTGCATCAGACATAAGATATGATCACATAAATAGACCAAACTCACAAAGTAATTTAATCTACCACACTCAGCTTCTAGCACCAATCTTGGTAGCTAATTCTCACTTCAAAAAAAGGATAAAAAACAGTGGTCCAACCCAAAGATTGATGGTCTCACAAAGATGGCCAATCATGTCAGAAACATCTCAACTTAGAAGATTTTTCACCAATGGATGAGACCACCAATCCTCTTAGGTCTCAGGAACGGCTGATCTCTGTCTGCAATAAAGCTAGACACAACAGTCAATCATCTAGGGTGTTCATGGTAAAAGAAAAGGGTGGAGCCTTAGTGCAGGTATTACAGGACATCCCACCTCTTGGATTTTCCACCACTGGCTAAGGCCTTTTATGGCCACTCGGCAAATGGATCTCTCTCCCAAGGGATAAGGTTCAAAGTGGGCATATTGGCATAAATATTGCAGCCACTTCGTGATACAAATAACTAGTATTGCTAGGTTGTTACATAAACCAAAGACCCTTCAAACCACTATCCTCACAAATCTGAAGATTGTTCAGTCACTAGTTGGCCCATGCAAAATGTGATAAAAGGGATAAGTAATATGCCCTGCTTAAAAACTCACATAAAGTATCCTTTTTCTTTTTTCCATGTTTCAGGGAACTATTGTGCTTGCCTTTCCGCACAGTCACCCATTGATGACCATGTTTCCTACACTGGGCCAAGTTTTAACTCCAGATATGGACCCGGGCTCTTAAAACAGCCAAATGAGGAATGTGAGAATACTTTCTTTGAAAATGAAGGAGTGGATGAGAATAATGGAGACGAAACATCTATCATCAGCTCTGATCCTTTTCATGGCTTTCTTACTATTGGAACCCTTGGCTCAGAACCAATTACCAGTGAGCCTGCAACACCAACATTTGCCATGTCTTTGGAGAGCATAACAGAGGAAAACATAGAGGTGACAGAAAATGAATTGAAGATCATGAACAATGAGTTAGAAAAGTTTCTAGAGGCTGAAGCTGAAGAAGAAGGTTGCAATGAATCGTTAGCAAGGAGCAGTTATGTGAGCACTATTACACTCAGTGGCATGCAAATGGAAGCAACTGATGCTGAAGATTATGGAAAGACAGTGGCATGTCCACTCCAAGGATATCTATTTGGGTCATCAGTTGAACTGCCAGAAACAAGAGTTGGAGTAAAGAAGGAAAAGGTATCACTTGGAGAGATGTTTCGTATGACAAAAGTTACAGATGAAATTCCTTCAGAAAAAGAAGTGAAAGGGGAGATGCAAGCCAAGAAAGCACATAAATCTGCCAAATACCTCATCAAGAAGATACTCAAAATGTTTCGCACTACGTCGGGAAATCCTACCCCTTCTACAAGGGATGAAGCCTCAAATTCTGTTTCTACCAAGAAAACACTTAATAAGGTGTGTCTTCCTCCACCATTTTCTATAAGAAATGATTAGGGAAAAGACTGATGATTCTATCCATAAACACACAATCCATATCACTGCATTACAATTACCTCTGGCCAAATAAGTTGAATACTAATTTCATTTTAAGGTGTACTACCATGACAACCAGGATAACAGTAGCCAAGCACAAAAATCTTAAGTTGCTAACACCTTATTCTTTTCCTGTTAACAAAACAGATCTGTGGGAAATATCATTCTATAACTTGGATAGAATTTACAGTATAAACTAGCCATATTGCAAGTGTTTCTGAACTTCATTCCACAGCATCCGATAACCTAGCATCCGACAAGATCACCCCTTATGACTCAAACTTGGATTCTTGTCAAAAGACTTCGATTATACCTACGTACCTCAAGTTTTTAGATCAAGCTAAGCCATATTGATGACCAACCACTATATTTTCCAGAAAGGTTTCCATTAGACAATATTGGTCAATATAAAAAATATTGGTCACAAAGCATCATAACTCCAGAGGAGTAGGAACCTAACAATACCACCATAAATAGGTTCAGTGGTAGAACTTCCACTGAAATCTTAATTTTTCTGAGTTTTTGGCATGCAGGTCCTAAAAGTGTTCCATAGAAAAGTTCATCCTGAAAACCCATTAGCTGAAAGAGAGTTTACGAAGTCCCATAAAGACAAGACAATGACTACTCTGAATGATGGTGGCTATAATGCAGAACTGACGCACCAGGTTAAAGAGAAAAGAAAGTTTCTTCCTGGATACAAGTCAAGGGAAGGGGTCCAATGCCATAAGAACAGCTTGAAAGTGCCACAACATGATCATATTTGCAGTAATTCAAGTGCAAATGGGGAATACTGGATTAAAACGGATGCAGACTGTAAGTACCAACACATCTTGACCTTTCAAAAACATAGAACATGTTGACCTTTCAAAAACATAGAACATTTAGATTTTGGTTTACTTCAAGTATAGATTGCTGACCATGGCACCATCAATCATTTGTTACAATATGCATAGATGAATAAAATGTCTGACATTTGTAATTCCTTATATGCACATGCACGAAACATGTCTATTTACAAACAAAAAAGAGGTTTCAGAAACACAACTGCATTAATGGGATCAAGATATGCTAAAAGCAACAGTTATGAAAAAGTCAAACTATTATAAACAGAACTATATAAAGAATATCTTAATATGGGAAGTTAAAGATTCAGTAGCGTATTTTCCATGTATGCTGCCACATTGATAGTATTTTTTTCTTCTCCTTGAAGAGCTATTTTGACTTCATTGTGACCATCAAGGTAAATTATTAAAATGATTAAGCATATTAATGCACACATCTAACCCTTTTCTAATATCGGTAATGTAGATTTGGTGCTGGAGCTGTAGCAGAGGAGCTAAAGCACACTTACAATGTGTTGTTTGATTGCATCATCTAAGTTCCTAAGTATTTGTGAGTGATTTAAGTGACCATGAACCCAAGGAGATGGAAACAGTAAAAGGTATCCATCTCATCTGTCTGTATAATAATAAAGTTGTGAGCATGGAACGTCATGTAATCATCTTAATTAGTAAACATGATTGATATGTTTGCATGTTCCATTTTAATTATTTAATTATTTTTCACTTCACAAACAAGTAATATTCATAAAAACTAGTTTCTTCAAACATGAGTATTATGGAAGGAGCTAGTGTTGGGCATTTGATCCCAAACTAAGATTCAGCTGAAAAGAAGGAAAAAAGGAAGTTATTAATATAGCCAAAGGTTTCAAAGTCTTGGTGATTTATAACTGAAAAAAAAAAAATAAGGCTGATAAAAGAGAACAAAGCTTGTACTACCAAGTCAGATTTGTTAACTAAAAGGATAGAAAGGGGAAAGGAGATAGATGGCTGAAACTAAAACAAAAGCCTTCATTTGCTAAGTTTTACAACTCTCACTTATGTACCACCTACCTACTTGGACCTATAATTTCATTAGGCAGTCAACGCTGGTAATGATATTCTAAGAGACTCGCCATTATGGTCAGTTGTGCTCTCTTATACTCCAAATGATAGTAAATGAAGATGCTCCCCTCAAACCACTACAATAACTACAATGTCACCCTCCTATGCACTATGTTAAACCTATGTGATAGTCTATGGAAAGGTAGCATTGAAATGTACTTTAATGTTTGCTAAGGGAGTAATTGAAATCAAAGTTTTACTTTGGAGCAAACTTGCAATTAGTCCCTTTTTTTCACATAAAAGTGAGCTGGTAGTGTATTGGTAAAACCAAGGCCATGCACCCTATTTACATTAAAAGGCTCCTCAAATCACCCCTTTCCTGTTTAATTTTTATGGTGGCAAGCACCTCAAATTTGTGCCGGAAATGTAACATCTAAGTTCCATAATTCACCTACCGAAATTCATCTAAGAAAAATCATTAAACTATCTAGTTAGAATCAAATAGGACAGTGAGCAGATGGTTTGAAATGGGCGCATCAAATTCCAAACTGTTGGAAATAGTGTTAGCAGCACCTAAAGCGCAAGGCACTAAGCTGCGACAGGAAAGGGATTTTAAGGGTCAAAGCCAGGCAATTTTAATCAAGCACACATTAGGCAAGAGAAGTGCATGCCTAGGGACTTACAGAGAAGCACCAAAAAGCATGCCTAATTAGAGTTCTTGTCTGTTGGTTTTCTAGCTTGTGTAGTTTGAATTATTAAAAACTGTTTTACTACCCATGTGACTTCTAGTTATTTACTTGCAGGGCAAACTTTCATTGATTGTACACGTGACAATCCACTAACTATTTTATGTGAAATTTATTCATTAAAAAAGCTAAACTAATTGTGAAAGAAACACAAAAGGACAATAAGGAGAGCTATGGTTTATTTGGCCAAAAGAATGTGACTTTCATACAAATAATTTTTTGTTCTTTCAAATTATTATACTATTGTTTTTATCACTTTCTTTTACTATTCGGTCAAATCACTCACTCTCTCTCACTTCATGACGGTCATTATTGACATAATTGATGCTAAGAAGGAAAAAGGAATATTGCTCTCTCTTCTATTCTTATAGAATCAAAGTTTAAAAGTTATTCATTTTCTAATTAATCTATTATCAGGATTAGAAACAAACACCAGATGTATTAATATTTTTCTTATTTTTTCAAAAAAATAACAATTTTCTACATGCTATTAAATGTATATACATATTATAGCAAGTATGCACCTTATTTTGCCTAGACGAGCACTCGTGCCTTGCACCTAGGCTCCAAGAACCCTGTGTTGTACATACATATTATAGTAAGTATGCACCTTATTTTGCCTAGACGAGCACTCGTGCCTTGCACCTAGGCTCCAAGAACCCTGTGTTGTATATACATATTATAGTAATTATGCACCTTATTTTGCCTAGATGAGAGCTCGTGCCTTGCACCTTGGCTCCAAGAACCCTTTGTGCCTAAGTGCACCCAACACTTTAAGAACACTGGCTGGAGGTTGACTACATGCCTGGTAACTATGCCAATTAGTAAGCAATAAGTACTATCAAGGATCCGATTCTCCCAAGAAAAATAAAAAAGAAATCACTATCAAGGATTTGGATTTTAGTGGCAGGACATTTGGATTTTAGTGGCAGGACATATTCCTGATATAATTTGTAAGCAATTCCAGCTTTTGGCATAAACGTATAGAACTAGAACCCACTAGGTCAAACCTCATAGCAAGTAGGAAACAGTCCACTCTACGGTTACACTGAAAGGAGCTCTTCCATCAGAAATCCAACCATTTCCATTCTCCAGGAATTATCAACTAGAGTAGCTAATTCTCTGAAAGAGAAACCCGAAGCTTTATAAGTAAGAGTAGCACCATATACATATAGTGAAAAGAAAAACAATATAAGAGAATACACATTGTGCATCCTAAGATAGGCAAAGGTTCAATAAACTAGTTTGCAGAACCTGTAAATTAAATTAATATTGGATTTGGGAAATCAAGCTTAACTACAGAGCAATAAGAAGAGCTTGCTTGGTTGAGTCCTCTAAGCCTTCTAATGAGATTACTGATGTCTTTGTTTATGAACAACAGGAACTAAAAATACAGTTATTGTAACCCATGCACCTTCTACAATCACATTCATATGCTTCCAAGAAGATTACTTATTTATGAAAACAGGAACATAAGATACAGTTATATGAACAGCTAAAATATGATGGCACATAAATGGCATTAGTACAAACTGTACCAAACAGAAAAACAGCATGCTAACAGATAAAGGAGGGCAATTCAGAAGAAAAGATCCAAAAGGAAAAACTCAAGACAACCATAAACAAACTTACTTGAGATAATGACTGACAACAAGGATGGTCAATTTTTTCTCCAAGCACTTCAAAAGCTTTATAACATCTGCCCATACCTTCCAATCTGATCTCCAAAGCATCATTAATAACAATTAAAACAAACTCACTGCAGCAGAAAATAATTAACAAATGGAGAAGCTAGGAGGATGTACTGAAAGCTTACCATGGACTCACTTGAGTGTGAAACACTCATCACTTCAAAGATTGAGAAATTTTTTTTATAACTGATAAACATGAGGGCATTGAATTTTAGAATTTTGAGTGCTAAAGAGCTGGAATTGAATTTGAAGTTAAATGATCTAAATGAAAACAGTTGGAGTACCCTAACCAGTCTTGAAAGCAAGGTGGTACCAGACCTGCTTTCATGGGGGAGGCCAAAGGTCCAAATTATTGAAAAGGAAAGGAATGGTGAGGTGAACCCCTGATGTATAGTTTGGTATTACTGATGATAAGAAAGGAAATAAGAGAACATTCAAATCCATAACTCATCGTCAATTAGCCGATCTCAAGACAACAAGCCCAAAGCGGGCCTCCCTTGACTCTTTATCTCTAAAAGTATTCACGCATTTAAAAAGTTGGAGGAAACTGCACTGCACTACAGGGATTAGGGGTTCTTAATTATTGATTAACTTCAAAAATATCATAGTAATCATCAGCTGGGGGACTAAACAAGAGGGAAGACAAGGAATGGTCTAGGAACTAAAAAGTACTGAGTATGACTCACAGCTAGGCCAACAAGAGGCTCATTCCAAAACCAACATATCAGGGACTTTAAACTGAATATTAAATCGATAACACTCATCACTCAAAGCATGCTACAAGGATAAAGGTTATACAAGTGCCTAATCTGTAACTTTAGAATGGAGCATCTCAAGAAGTGTAGACTTACATAAAGGTTATTACCAGTTGAATAGCCAAGGCAAGCCGATGTTTATATTCACCACTTAGAGAGTACGGATCTTTACACAACGAGATCCCATTCAATCCAACCTATAGCTATCAGTTAAATTAAGTACTGCATTAAGAATCGGCAATGAAATATATAAAAACGACCAAAAAAAGAAAAAGGTAAAACATGCTTAATTTTCTCCCCTTTTTTTTGCCTTTTCTTTTTAAAAATAGCACTCAAATTACAGCTCTTTGCAGATTCAAAGCAAGACCTCCCTTAATCAAATACGCTTTCGCCTGGGCCACCAAAATGTAAGTTCAGCAGCAATAGTGTCAGCCACAAAGTAGCTAGCTTGTAGCAAAACAACATTCTTCATCAAAGTTCAACTCTATATAATAAACCTAAAGCAAAATAAAACAACCACATAGCATTTTCTTCCTGCATTCCTATATTTTTTAATAAAGATGATGGCAACCCATAATATCACTTTGTTTATTAAGAAATTACTAGACGATCAAAAATTAAAAGCAACAGAAATGCATAAACGGAATCAGAACAGTTAATTGATTGATTGATTAAAAAAAATTAATTACGTTTTCTCTGGAAGTGATTGATTGATTAAAACATTAATTACGTTTTCTCTGGAAGTGAAAAGGTAACTTTATTTAAAAGATTAAGCTTAATTCATGGAGGTCTATAGCTAACATCCTTAACCTACAATTAACACATGATGATAATTATAAAAATTAACTATTAAACAAAAGAGACAGAAAATTACTAACTTCAAAGGAAGAGTATCCGCAGAAGTTTTTACGAATTTGTGGAATTGAAATGAAATAGGCGGTGGTAATCAAAGGCGTTTGCGATTAAGAGAGGACTGAATTGTCGATAAAGTGGAAGTCGCCATCTCAGAGGCGGGAGTTTCATATATAGTGACTCAGCTGGGTATGGCTCTTGTCATGGATGAAACGTTCTGTCGTTTCGTGTGCTAGCCAGCGTCTCTTTAGCCTTAGGACCTGTGGTTATTTAATTAAATTCCTAATTAACCTGCACTTTCTTTTTTCCTTATGGTATAATTCACAGGGTTTGCTATGATTGCTTTGCCTAGAGGATAACAAGTAACTATATTATTTATTATTTATCCATGTTATCTTGTCAATCGAGTTAAAAAATTTTAAATATAAAATAAATATTTAGATATTATATTTTTTTAGTTAAATTTTTTTTAATCAGATTAACTTAATATAATTTAAATAATTTTTGTAGATTCAAAAATAATCTATACAACTCATAAAAACATAATTTAATTTAAAAAGATTTCAAGATAATATCTTTTTTTAATATTAAAATGATAACATATTGAATTAATTTAGATTAACATGTCAAATTTACAATCCAGGTTATAAGACTATAATAACCTCATAGAAAATAAATTAAAATAAATTATGAAACTTAATTCACAATCAAGCCAATATTGAAATATAAAATTGAAAAGAAAATAAATTAAAACATAATCTCAAAATAACTTGAGTTAATCTATGAAATTTATGACCCAGATTATGAAATCAAAATAATCTTATGAAAAGCAAAGAGACAAACTATAAATTTCAATCTCCAATCGTTCTAATGTTGAAGGATATGATAAAAAATTAATTAAAAAAATATAAAAAACAAAATGTGCCCATTCACAAAACCCATAACTTAAGTTATTAGACTGAGATAACCTCATAGAAAAAAATTGACTTAATTTAACCTGGGTGAACATGCTAAATCCGCAACTTTGGTTATGAGACTAAGATAACCTTATAGAAAGCAAATCAAAATAAATTATAAAGTTTAATTTCAATCATTATTGTCGAACTCAATGTTTAACGATAAAATTTATAAAAACATTTAATTAAAAAAACACAAAAAATAAGTCAAATCAACCTAGGGTAATTTATTAAGTAATATTACTGAAACATGAGGTTGAGATAACCTAATAAAAAAAAGTCAATCATGAAGCGTAATTCTCAATTAAACACAATAATAAATGATAAAAATGGAAAAATCAATTTAAAAAAGCAAAATAACTGAGTCAATTATATTAATTTGCTAAATCCATGACTTGGTTTATGAGACATGAACAACCCACTAAAAAGTAAATTCAATGTTGAAGGACATGTGATTCGGGTCATAAGACAAAGAAAATCTCTTAAAAAGAAAACAAAAAAACAATCTAGTTTAACAGGAGTTAAAATGCCAAAATATACGACCTTGATTGTGATACCAAGTTATCCTCACAGAAAAAAATAAAAATAAAAATTATAAAACTCAATTTCTAATCAATTTAATATTGAATAGTGAATTTGAAAAAAAAAATCAATTGGAAAAATGACATAAAAGCAACTTGAGTCTACTCAAATTAACCTGTTAAACATTGTTTTAGGGTCATGAGGCTGGAATAAAATAATAGAAAGTAAACAAACAAATTATGAAGTCTAAGTATCATTCAATGCAATATTAAATATTAAAATTATAAGAAAAAATTTAATTATGAAAAAAAATTGAGTTAACAAAATTAACACGTCAATCTGAGTCAACAAAGTTAATTCACCAAATCGAGTTAACATGCTAAACTTGCAATTCATCTTATGAGAATATAATAAATTAATAAAAAATAAATCTAATATTAAAACATAAACAAAAAAATATTAATTAAAAAAATAAATCTAATATTAAAAAATAAACAAAAAAATATTAATTGAAAAAACCAAAAATAAAAAAATAAAGCACTATTAAAATGAATAATCTTTATAAAAATGGGTACAATAAAACCCCTTTTTCTTTTAGTTTATAATTAATAAGATAATATTTGCTATATTATATTATATTATAATAACACCTAAAAACAATTAGGGCATGGACTTAATATATTATTTAAATATTTTGTTATTGATTTTGTTTTATGACTTTAAGGTATTTGTTTATGTGGTAGTTTATGCATTGAGTTGAAACCATAATTTTGTATTGTTTGGTTAGGATGTAAACTATAAATTGAGACTCATTAACATTATGGTCCTACCATAGGTTCAATAAAAGCAAGAGTGACTTGCTTTTGTTGCTTCCTGCCCACATTGTCATAGTGCCCACCAATAGTGTTGAGATCATTGTATAATTTCCAGTGACCAAAATATCCTTATCACTGCTTCAATCATCTCTTGTTTTCTTATCTATTTTCTTCCACCAACTTCTCCTTTTTTTCTAATGTGATTACCTTTACAAATACTTATCCTTCAACCTTTCCTTTTTTTTTTTGTAATTGTTTGTCATATTCTTTGATTTGGTATTCATATGTTTCTCTATAAATTATTCCAACACCCAAAACATTAAATATTCAACAATAAAGCATATACCCTTCCAAGATCTTCTTAACACTAGACCACATCTACTTGTCTTTTTTCCTTTATCTTGACTATGTTAACACCCCGTTGTAATCTAAAACAAGATCTTGATAATATATAATTGACATTTAATTTATTATACATTTTAAACTCTACATGTAATTAAAAATTGCAACAATAAGCAAAAGCATTACCTTGTTCTTCCTTATTTTAAATATTTGTGTTGTGTTGTGTTGTGTTGTAGGAACCTTATTCTAGTATCTGTGTCTTCGGGTAAGCACACAAAAACCCATCTTGTTTCTTTTTGTTTTGGTACACCCTCAATTTCAAACTGGTAATCCTTATTTTAATTTCATTTATTGATTTGAAAAGTTTATTTAGACTGAGATAAAGTTTCTGCCACCTCTGAACATATTCCACAATAAGCTTTTATCATATGGCTAGCCTCTCAAAATAGGTTGTAGACCATAGAAAGACTTCACAGAGTAGGGATAGCATTTGTTATCCCTTCAATGTCGCTGCACACCCCATGACAAGTTGTATTTTTATATTTATGTCTTTCATATAGCCATGGTCTAATCTAAAGCATTCTTTTTTTCATCCTTATTGCATCCCAATGAAATTACCAAGTAAATATTCCTTTCTTATTTACTATTTTGATGTTGAATGGAGGATGAAATAGGTTGTAATATAATTTTCTATCCTTATTTACAATACAATTGACATAAAAAATGCAAGACGTCCAATTACATACCAAATAAATGTATGATTGGTATAACAACTTAACATGTCTAATTGCATACTAACATTTTAAAATTTTAGTATAATTATACAATAGATTGTTGTTAAGTTAAAAGTCATTTAATTTTCTTATAGTACTTCTTTAATTTATTGACATATGTATAAAAAAGTTGTAATAGCTTAATATTTATAACAAATATTAAGTGTTAATTGAAGTGAAATATACATTTACTTTGTAGATATGGACGTGGATTGATTTAATGGTTTGTTTTATGAGATCATAAAAATATCATGAATAATTTTGTTCAATATGTTTTATATGGTTGTTGTGGTAGAAATAGTGGTAGTGATTTCATTTGCAGTAGCATGTTGGTTATGGTAGCAATACAAATGATGACGACGATGATGACAATGAATACGATGATGATGAGGAGTGAAATTTGTTTTGACTGAAAGAGTTTTATCATTGTAAACCACCGTTGTGCATAACTAGAGTACTTGATATGTTTTATAATAATTATATTTATAGAGAACCGTGTATGGTTTCTTACAACACGGAAATGTGATGGTTGAATGAAATTCTAAATGGGCATTGGATATGTTGTATTAATATATTTAGGATGGATGCATCCATATTTTAGAATTTATGCTTTGATTTAGAAACGTAATATGGATTAAAACCATCAAGGAGGATAAGTGTAATTGAGAAGGGCAACATGTTTCTTTATACGCTAGCATTTAATGCTTCAAATAGGGAAGTTTATGAGAGATTTCAACATTTTGGTTAAATTATCAATAAATATTTCAATGAAGTTCTCAAGTCTATATGCTCGTTAGCATTTTAAATAATCAAATCAATTGATCTAGAATTTTCAAGAACACCGAGAGAAATTACAATGAATTTAAGATATATGCCACATTTTAATATAACATTAATGTTGGTTAATGATTTAATAATTACGTAAGCTACACAACAAAAAAATTATTTCAACTATGTTTGAAATGATTGTTTTCTTATCTAATTTTTTTATATAGAATTGTGTTGGAGCTATCAATGAAACACATATGCATACTTATATATCAGAAAAAAAATCAAATATCATTTATTGGTAGAAGATGTATAAAAGCATAACTTAATAGCAACATGTAACTTTGAAATGGAATTTATATTTGTTTAGACTGGATGAAAAAGTGCATTGATACAAAAACTTTTCTTGAGGCCATTAATAATCCTAATATCAAATTTTTAAAGCCATTGGAAGGTATTTATGATTGAATAATGTAAATGTTAATAAATTTCACTACAAGTATTTTGGTTTCCTAATTAGGATTAATTTATAGCAAAAACTTATTACTCTAAGGAAGTATTAAGTTGTTGACTCTAGTTATCCAAATGATTATGGATTTCTAGGCCAATATAGAGGTGAAAAATATCATCTTCTAGAATTTTATTATTAAAGGCATCCATAAAGTCAAGAAAAGTTATTCAATTGGGTTCATTATTCAATATCATGTGTAATAGAATGAACTTTTGTAGTGTGGAAAAAAAGATGGAGAATTTTATAGAACATGTCAGTATTCTTGTAAAAGTTACAAGTTTAAACAGTTTTCATATCAATGGCTCTATATAATTCTATAAGAAGGAGGTATGAATAAGATATGACATTTATTAAGTTTGATTATCATCCAAATTTTGTTTCTTAAGATATTTTTAGTGATGTTGTGGGTCAGGTGCACAAGCCTCTATTAGGCCTATATGCTTGGCTCCAAGGTTATTAAAAACACATTTTTGACATGACACAAAAAATACAAAATAAACTTGAATTGTAAAAATGGATCATAAGATCATAAAATCGTAAGGAATTTTA